TATTAAAAATCTATCTCCACTACGGAGGACAAAATTCATTTTTGGGTCTCATAATCTGATTTCTACACATTAAAAATTTTTTAAATAACAGTACACTTTTGTTAGGAAGGGATATCAGAATTTGTGTGCAGATTACATGGATGCCATCTTATTTATATCTATAAAATTAAGTATGACAGATATGTATCAAGTATTTGCAAATGTATCTGCATCTGTGTGAGAAATATGGGGCTGACATGACACTCAAAAAGACCGTATTATTGCTACCACAAACTTTACAAGACATTCAACTTTTTATAATATGTTTGTGCTGTAATCTTAGAGTATCACCTCTATCCACCTCCAGTGAACTGAATTTATCAGGTCAGAGTTGTCGTTGTCTTATAATACTTATACGGAACAATTTTTTTTTTTTTTTTTGCCATCTGCAGGTGTTTGATATGGGCCAATACCAGGAGAAAATAAGAGCCTACAGCATGCTCTCAAGTCATAAGAACATTGCACAGATAAAAGACATAGTTCTTGGGGAGAGCAAAGCATATGTGTTCCAAGAGAAGGATTTTGGCGACATGCACACCTTTGTAAAGAGTAGCAAGAGGCTTCCTGAAGACCTGGCTTCCAAGCTTTTCCACCAGGTGGTATCTGCAGTGAACCACTGCCACCAGGTTGGCATCATTTTGGGGGACCTGAAGCTCCGCAAGTTTGTGTTCTCAGACGAGAAAAGGTGAGAGTTATAGTTAGTGAGTGTGTCTGTGTGAGAGTGTGAGAAAGCAGGAGTTTTTAATGGGGCACACCAGGTGCGGTACTGTACCTCATGCATCAATACTGTGACATCAGCAGCGTTATACTGGGTGAATAGTGTCAGTTCTGGTTTCATTCAATTTTCGCTTCCTCTCAGCAGTGTGTCACATTGCAGGTGATTGGTGCTGCTTCCCTAAAGATTCAATGGAACAAACCTATTAACACTCACTTACTCAGGTTTCTCTGTAAGAGGAGCAACTGGTAATCACACCCCTGAACTCGTGTCCAGAGATTTTTCTTTAGAAAACAAGAGTCCTCTGAATTACATAAGTGAATTATGTATAAAAAACATCATGGATTGAATTTAAACATTTTTTATCCACAATCCCAATGAAAGAAACATACTGGAGATAGCTAACCGTTCTACCTGCCAAAATAATACCACTATAAAATTAAAAATATAAAACTTATATAAAATATTATTATGTATACACATTTTATATATTTTTATATTTAATTAAATATTACTTAGATAAAATATTACTTAAAAAGAAAAAAATTAAGATGAATATAAAACATTACTTTTTATTTTATAACACAACGTTTTAATTAGCATGCAGTGTTTCTGCTGCTAGACAATAAAACTCACTTGGAAAAGTTGCACTTTCAAAATAATTGTGTAAAAATAATCCAGTTTATACACATGGCTTGAGATTTCTGCATTGTGTTATATTACATAGTGTCTAAATGTTTTTGAAAAATACAATGTAAATTTCCCATCTGTTTAGTGTCAAGTAAATTTAAAACTCACCTACAGGGCTTATACAGGGCTTCCTTAGAACCAATTAGTCAACTAGTCTGTCAGGCAACCCACCAATTAGCCGACTGAGCAAATATGTTGTTTTTCACATCCCTCAATACATACAGTAGGGTTTGCCATTTCTGGGCCAACATTTTAAGCCTGACCTTTGGGCATCGGTTTTCATTTGAGTGAAGCAGACAAGAACGTGTAAGAGGACGTAGTCACCCTTCTCTCATAGCAGCCAACGGGTGCAGCGAGATGAGTCATAGCAATGCACACAGAGGGGAAACTCACCATTCAGGATCATACCCACACACTCAACACTCCACTCCTGGATACAGCACCGCTCGTAGGTGAGGCGTGCCGGCTCTGGCCATTGCAACACTTACAGATTGGCGGACTGGCAGACACGTCTAGCGCAGACGTGACCAGGGCATGCTGACATTTGGTCAGACGAAAAGCACAAATAAGCGTTTGTGTTTTCTTTCACTTTGTTCGGTACCAAGCAGCGTAGTGACAGATTATGCAAACCTGCTGTCTGTACACTGTGTCTTTCCGAATGCAATTTCCATAGCTAGAATAGCTTTTGTAAAATGCGGTAATGATGAGAGATGGAGAAGCAACAAAAAGGTCGAAACTGTGATAACGCTGAGATACGGTATGTGATTGCATACAGAAAGACACTCAATGGCCTGGAATGCGTCTGCAGTTAGATTGTGAAACACACACATGCACACAAACAGGCTGGCTGGGTAGGGGCCGTTCATGCGTCACTGATGTAACAGCGCTGTTTGTGGGTAATGAGGCTCTGCCAGATGCCGTGAGCGTACGGCACAGGTGCAGGAAGAACACAGTGGACCTGCAGCACAGCGCAGTGCATTCATTTGTCCACAGTCTCTCTGTCTGTCACACACACACACACACACAGGACTATGACTCATTCTCTCCACCTCTCTGGCAGAATGTTGTCATGTCATCTGCAAACCCCCCAAACCGAGGCTGATAGCCAGTGATGAAACTCAAGAGTATGCAGAGCAGCTCATGTTTTACTGAAAGGGATACGACAGACTCATGGGTCATCAAGTCTACCTTTATAGTCTACAGGGATATTCATAGAGTAGTAGGGGATTTGTTTCCTATTGGAAACTGAGCTAAACTTAGCCCAGAGTTCACAAGAATACATTACAGAGCTCTTTGGACTGAGAGGAAGTGTGTTTATTTTGTGCGCGTGCTTTTGTTTAAACGAAGGCCGTAATTAGATGAGGATCTGTGTCCTATATTTGTTGTAGTAGCGCCGTTGTTGTGGTAGTAGTTTCCATGATTTACCGTCACAGCAATCTGTGAGCTCAACAAAAGGGATGGAGAGTTATTTCAGCTCGACGCACAATAAAGGAAGGCTTCAATACATCACTTTGTTTAGCAATGGAAGAGAAAGAGACTAAATCCATCATCAGCAGGCCCACAAGGAATCTGTGCCCACAGAGTTCTGCGTAGATCTCCGCAGAGCCGGATCACCTGTCATTTACATCACCCCACCCTCTGTGTTATATCTTGGCTAATTTGATTATGCTTTCTGCTTTGTTAAAAGTGTAACACAAGCGTTTTTCCAGTGTTTAAGACTTGAACTTGCTCTCTGATGGCAGTTTATTAAGAGTTATGAAAATGCATTGTCAAATTTATTGATACCAAGGACCAAATGAGGCAAGTGTCCCCCTTCTTAAAGTATAAAGGCAGCTTAATATTTTCATCTATAAAAACAATAACCGGCTAACTGTTATTGTACTAAAGCAAATTGTTAAAATATTATTTGGAAAATATTTAAATGATCTTTACTTGATCATTTCTGACCTGTATTTAGAAAGCTGAATGAAATATTATTTTTAACAAATCTGGTGAATGTCAGTAAAAATGATTACATTAATATCTTCATATTAATATACAAGTACACACGTTAAATATGATAGCCCTAAAACTACACTACTGTTCAAATGAATAAATGTTGTTTATTTGTTAAAATGTAAGTTTTATATGTTTGTATTTAAAAAAAAGTGTATTTACAAGTGACTGTCTGCTAAAATTTCTAATAATAAAAATATTTAAACCAAATGAATAAATGCTTTTCTTTTGATCTTTCAAAGAAAAAAAGTGTCAGTTTCCAAATAAATAATAAGAACAACTGAAAATTCAGCTTTGCTATCACAGGATATTTTAAAATATATATTAAAATAGAAAAGTTATTTTAAACTGCACTAACATTTCACAGTATTCCTGTTTTTACTGTATTTTTACATCACTTTTTTTTTACTGATCCCCAAGCACCTACTTATCATGTAAAGTGGCAACTTCAAATTCTGTTTTGAAAAATTCCACAAGTTTTACATCAAAATTTGAGTGGAAAATGTGAAAAACGACCTGATCATCAGTGCAATGTAGCTGATTGTGAATGGACTGTATATACCAGTCATATGATTTTCTTCACAGCCAAAACACTGTAAATATTACTTGATTGTGCAAACCATGATGTGTTTATTTTAGGGCCCAACTGAAATTAGAGGGTCTGGAGGACTGCCATATTCTGCGCGGAGAGGACGACTCGATGTTCGAGACGCATGGCTGCCCTGCGTACGTGAGTCCTGAGATTTTAAACGGCGGAGTGTGTTACTCAGGCAAGCATGCGGACGCGTGGAGCCTCGGCGTCATGCTGTACACAATGCTGGTGGGCCGCTATCCTTTCCACGACCCGGACCCCGCAACCCTGTTCTCCAAGATTCGACGGGGCACATATTGCCTCCCCGATGGGCTGTCTCTAAGGGCACGCTGCCTACTTCGCAGTCTGCTCAGAAAGGACCCAGGCGAAAGACTGACCACAGCGGAGGTCCTCATTCACCCGTGGTTTAATGGCAACACGCAGGACACAGGAAAAGCAGAACAGGAAGTCAACCTGAGAGAACAGACAGTGCCCCAGATAGAAATGGAGCAGGACGAGGATTTTTTCTCCTGAGGAAACCAATATAGCTTGAATATGGACCAAAACTGTTCGTGATCTTGGTGTTTTGTTTTTATTATTTGGTTTCTTATATGGATTTTGTAATAGATTCAGAAGTATACACTCAGTGAGTACTCACTCAAAGTACTGTATCATGTGTGTCAGGTTTAAAGACAGTGTGCACAACAGCCAGTGTAGTCGTTTTGAAGTCGTCTTCTAGTGAACCATTCTTGTGCTGTATGAAGTGAATGAGACTGGGCATTATGGGTCACGTGATAACGAGAGAATGTGAGAATGTCGGCATGGTGACTAACCTCGGCCTATGGGGCAGACCTTTGGCTTCACTCTTACTGTCAAAACGAATTGTCACTAATTGAATACTGCTGTACCAAAGGTACATGTCTCCTTTTATAGGAGGAGAATGAAAACTAAAGGAATCTGACACACGCATACATATGGAGGACTAGAAGTGCAGCTTAAAAATATAATGAAGAAACAATTATCAATATATTTAATTTAAAAAGTAATAATTTTAATTTAAAAAATTAAAAAATACAAATATAGACATTTTAACCTATTTAATTCATGTTTAGAAATGTAGTCAAATATATAAATAAATAGATAAATAGTTTTTAAATTCAAATGGTTTAAAAAGCATTTAATAAACAAAAGCTTTTCTTTATTCTTTTTAATGTTTTTCCTTACTCATTAGCAGCCATTGTGCGTCAAAGGGGTGTGTCTTAAAGCTCTGTTGAAAGTAGTGCTGAAAGTTTTTGTTTACTCAGTATATGTGGGTATACTGTGTATATTTATTATGTATATATATAAAGACACACACATACAGTATATATTTTGAAAATATTTACATGTATTTACATGTATATATTTATATTCATATAAATTATATCATATAAATATATTTAATATATAAACATTACATATTTTTCTTAAATATATACATGCATGTGTTTATATTTATATATACATAATAAATATACACAGTACACACACATATATTATGTGAACAAACTTTTATTTTGGATGCGATTAATCGCGATTAATCATTTGACAGCACTAGTTGAAAGTTCATTGGTTAACTTGCAAGGATTAATTGTTCACCTCAAGACTAGCAATGTGCTCTTACAAAGTAAACATTGTAAATTTTGATTTCATGAGGACTTTAAGAAAAACAACTTACCAATGCTTTATTAAATCAAATTTTAAACAAGCATTTAAAATGATTTTATTATTTAATATTAATAAATATAATTAATATTTTAAACATGAATTAAATAAACACTGGTAATTATGTTTAAATTTGTGAATTGTAAATGGTAATTAGCAGCATTTTTATTTTTTAATTAATAAATTGATAATTAATTTATTAATTTTATTTTAAGGTAGCACTTCTGCTTACATGCAATAAGCTGTTTTAAATCACAGATACTGTGTGCTGTTCTGACTTATGCCTCTCAGAATTGCCAAATTGTACATAAGAGCCATTCAGAGGTTAAATGTCACTTATTGACCTTTAACATTCTGTGACAACTAACGGGTCACCGTTACATACGGATCCTTAAATGTTCAGGATGAGCCTCTTACAGACTTGATACAGTGTTCATTTATTCTGCTGTATCCTGATCTCTAGTCTTTCTAGTCACAGTTTCCTTACTTGAATCCAAGCAACCTCATAAAAGCATGAGGCTTCAGTATGGCAGGCCAGTTCATACTGCGAATAAGATATAAGATGACTCAACAGCGAGGCATTGGTGTAACGAAGAGGAAAGGGCTATGAACCCAGATTAGTGTGCTCAGTATGACTACATATGCGTATCTTTACTCTCACTTTAAAGAAAGGAGAACAGTACTACAATAGCACTACTGCAAGGGTTGAGCATCCTATAAAGGTCTGTTTTCTGCTTGCCCTCGTGTTGGGGATTGTATGTTACCTCTGAATCCAAGCATAATGGTGATACACGACGTTTATGGTTTCTGAAAGGCTCTTTATAAGCGAAGGCTGGAGGGTATGCAAAATGCCTGTCTCATGCATGCAACACATGGGGAAAGCTGACACGAGTGCTCAGAGTTCATATTGCACTGTGAATTATGTATTTGTGACAAACCCCAAGGCTTGACCATGAGGGTTTAACGGTTCAAATTCATTGTTCAAATGAGCATTTGTAAATATGTACATCTTAAGTGTGTGAACAAAATTGAATAAACTCTTTCTTATTTACATCTGTGGTGCATTCTGTGAAAAACATCTCTAGAAAGATGCATGGGTTTTGTATGAAGCAAAACTGTAGCACAGTGCATTGCATTTTATTCCTTGTGATTTTTTTTTTAATTTCCAGACCATCACAAATCACCAATAATTTTCTTAAAGTCTCAAGATGTCAAAATAACTCGTTAACAAAAAAGGTGTGCTTAAATGTATTGAATGTGCACTTGTAGTATACTTCAGTTCAAACCTTAAAAGTATACTTATATAACTGTACTTGCAGGTAATATAATATTGATAAAATAAAAGGCCACTTAAGTGTACATAAAGAGAATACACTTTCATGACTGTTATTTACACACTTAAGTGCACTTTAAAAAAAAATCTTATGTCGTGTTTCTAGGAATATTAATTTGGATGTGTTGACTAAAACATCTAAAATAACTAGTCTTTGATTATATTTTTTAACTGTATGTTATTCAATATTACATTTAAAGTTAACATATTTTAATTCAAATGTGTAATCTGTTAAAATAAATTTCATTTATTTAAAAAAATGTAATAAACGTTTCAGTATAATTGACCTTAAAGTATATGTTTTTACCATAAACGCTTGTCAATGCAGTAAATTTGGCAGTACACTTTAACCATTTAACCAAGACAATAAAAGTATTTATGAGATTATAAAGTTTCAAAAAAATTCTAAATGTTCAAAAAAGCACACTAAAGTTCAGCTAACTGTGTTCAATGTAAATTTAAACTATAATACATTTTTATTTCATTGCAATTAACATGCAGTTAAGTTTATGAAAACATTACATTTAGTTTGTATATATTGAAGTATATTATTTCCGTAATATTAACTTTTTCAAAAGTATTCTAAACATGTGCTTCTTTTTCACAAGGGAATTGAACCACTGGCAGCAATAAAGCGTCCTCTTGTGCTAAATTCAGGGCAGACTGAAAGAGAAAGCTTAATGTGCATTTTGACCTGAGAGTCAGGTAGCTCCGCCCTCTATTATGACTTCACAGAGGCTTGCGTAAGCGGGTGATTGGGTATCAACAGAGTAGCTGGAGCGTCTCTTTTGTTGGGCAGCTGCCAGGCAGCGTTGCACGCCATGGATGCAATTGCCAAACATGTCGGCGCCGGCCTTCGGTAACGCTCTGATAAACAGTGCACTACCCATATTATCTTGACACTAGTCTCTCTGAGTGACATTATGAGTCACTACCAAGTGTATGAAGTTGTCTCCAAATCAAAAGATGATGTGATGGGATAAGGTCATATTTAAGGGCCTGTTAGCAGCTTAGTTGTGAAATGCAGTCAGGCTTTAGACGTGATGATAGTTAAAGGGGTGTAAAGTGACTGTAAGCAACTTGCGTCACAACATGTCAACTGCACCGACTATTAATCTGCTTCAAGTGAAGATAACGCCATCAGCCATGAACTTAAGTCTATAGAAACTTGATTTCAAGATTTACAAGAGCAAGAGCACTCCAGGAGCCATTATGATGCACAGCTTATCACTGTAGAGCATTTCATCTTCTGTCAGTACCATTTAAACACAAATACTAAATCACATTTGCTGTCAGTTACACTCTTCTACATTCCCACACATAAATAAGGAGCAGAGGTTCACACTGATGATCAAATAATAATCCAAACAAATTGTTTCATATTGCATCATTTTGGTGATTTTCTATCTAAAACAACTTTACAACATCACACTAATTTCAAAATGACACTAATTTGAGGTCAAGGGAAAGAGGGCTGACAGGGTCGAAGACCATGTTCACAACATCAGTCAGAAACCAACACGTCTGTTTTGGATGTCTGCATTGCTCATTATTAATTTTATTATTATATATTTATTAATATTTTGAATTAGCTTTTATGTTTATATTTTCAGTATTCTTTTAAGTTTTAGTAATTGCTATGCTTTTGACATTTTTATTAGTTCTCTTTTTTTTATTAAAAACATTTCTATTTAGCTTTCATTTATTTTTATTTCAATTTTAGTTTTAGTATATTTCAGTTAGTTGCCAGAGCAACATTTCAAAAATTCAAAGTTTTTCATCTAATATTTAGCCTATATTTTATTTTAGCTTATTCAGTTAACCAAAAACTGGTTTTTGATCGTTTTAGTTTAGTTACAGTAACAATAACAACACTGTCGACAATGGTTTATGCACATTTCCACATATCCGCCATAATAAAGCAAAAGGGAAAGATTTAACAAAGTTACTAGAAACACTTTGAGGGTGACCGTTCATATTTGATTATCAGTGTTATGTCACAATCATGTGGAGATGTTTGGTACTTCAACATTTACGTTTTCCAAAGAAAAACATGTCCTGTTCCTGGAAAACAGGAACATAATTAAATTGGATAAAGGAAGGGAAAATCATTAGAGTTCACGGAATAATTCTAGCCTGTTTCAGGAAACACATTTCCAAATGTGTTAAAAAGCCTGTTCTTCCTATTATACATGGCAATGATTAACCACCAGAGGCCAGTATTATTTCAGCAAAAGCTGATAAAGTTGTCGTAAGGCCTGTTAAACAGATGATTGTTATGTCACAATCATGTGGAGATGTTTGGTACTTCAACATTTACGTTTTCCAAAGAAAAACATGTCCTGTTCCTGGAAAACAGGAACATAATTAAATTGGATAAAGGAAGGGAAAATCATTAGAGTTCACGGAATAATTCTAGCCTGATTCAGGAAACACATTTCCAAATGTGTTAAAAAGCCTGTTTTTCCTATTATACATGGCAATGATTAACCACCAGAGGCCAGTATTATTTCAGCAAAAGCTGATAAAGTTTTGTCGTAAGGCCTGTTAAACAGATGATTTTATGGTTCTCCATGCTAAGTGCAAGCATCTGTTTCAGTATGTAAGCTACATGAGAGCTCACATAAAAATAGAGAAGCTTTACCCTGTAAACTGGCATCTAAGGGGAGTCTATTGATCTCCTGTCAATTTTAATAACTAGTGCTTGCTAAGATCACTGTTATTATGACTCACAGGGTTAGAAATGTAAACAATACTTGGGAGTGTATCCTGCCAACGTACTACGTACTAAATTGAGAATAAAGCGCCCAGTTTAATGTTACCTCAAACGTGACGTTACGAGCAGAAATATTTTAGTGAAGTACCTGTATTAACTGAACTTCAGAAGTGCTTCACATGGTCTGTCATCGCGTGCTCATCAGTCGTACTGAAGTAGTACCTCGAAGTCAGCAAG